AAAAAAAAAAAACAAACCAGTAAGTAACAAGCAAATACAATGTGTTCAGAAAGTGAGAGAAAAAACTACCTTTTAGGGCCTTTTCCTCTTGTACCAACTGTGGAAATAGGCAGAGGATCATTTTTCCTTTCCATATCAACCAAGTTGTATATTGTTTTTTGACAGTTTAAAACATCTTCTTCTGTCAACAATTCTTTCACAATAACACTGGCTAATGGAACTACCTATAGTATTTTTCAGAAAGAAAAAAGAAAATTAGCCTTGAAAAACAAAAAGTACCGAATATCAAAACATCTAGGCAAAATTTCAACTGATTTAAAAGATATCATGGCAAAGAATCTGTAGCCACCACTTCAATATTCAATTAATAATTGTAATACAAACATGTATTTCATTCTTTGCTTGAAAAATCATACAAATTACATTTGCTAACTTGTTTCTGTAAAGAATATGGAGCTAACCTAGCAGGTAAGTTGAAACTACTTAACCACTTACCGCTTGCATGTTGAAAATGGTGGTTTGTGAGATAATCATAGGCCAATAACGGGTGTGTTTTTCTAACTGATCTTTTGCTCGTTCCAAAGGGATCTCAAGACTTCCATCGATTTTATATCTGGGGTCTAGAAAAGGAGTTAATCTGTTTTCTCTCATAAATTCACCAAAATCCTAATGATAACCAAATAAGAAAAAATTAGAAACTATTTTCTAATGTTTCAGAATGGAATACACGTAAAAGCCTGTCTCCCTGATGGCTTCTATCCTATGGTACTCAGCAAGGCATTTTTTCCTAACAGTTCTTCATTCGACCATTACTTTTTTTTCCCCTTATCAACATGAAACTTATTAGCCTTTATATACTGGAGATGAACAAAGACTCAAACAGAAATACACCCCTAGTATTTCCTCTTTTTAAAAACCAAGGAACACTCATTTTTCTGTATTTCTATAATTTAACTCTTTCCTATCATCTACAGACAAATGAGTATGTTAATCATATTAGAAGACCAATTTGCTTACTTAAAAACTACCTTGATATAACATCAAAATATTAACAGTATTTATCTGTGAATGACAGAATTACAGGTAATTTTTAAAAAATATCTGTATTCTCTACATTTTCTACAATGAATACTTATTAGCATTTCCCTTATTAAAAAAAAATTTATGTAAGAAGAAAAGAAGTAAATGTCTAATTAAAGCTATTATTTATAGTACATTACACTGTGGTTTACAAAGCATATTTATATACATTATCACATTTAATTTTAATAACCATCTTAAAAAGTAGATAGTCAATCTCCTTGTATGTTGGTCCATTCCCTTCCCAAAAACATAATAGTTAATGGTGTTATTTCAAAGGAGCAGCAATATAAATATTCAAATGTTTGTGTTTATCATTTAAGATACTAGAAACTAAGTTTCACTTAAAATATTGGTCGAAGTCAATTTCCCTTTCTTCCTCTACTTTCATCGTGTCAACATCATCACATAATTCTCAGAATACAATGAACACAGAGGAAAAACTACATAGTGATAAATAGATGTTTTGAGGGAGTATTGCAGGAAATTCACCTAGTTAAAGTAATAATTAATGTCTTTCAAACCTATTTTTGTCACAGATCCTAGGATATAGGAGACAATGACTACATGCTGAAAGAGCATCAACTCAAGACATAAACTTTACAGATTATTAGAGTCTTACGGTAATCCGGTAGTCCGTAACTCTTCCTCCACACCCTTCACTAATAGAAGGAGGATCTTCTAGAATGGATCGAGAACTGCTAAGGACATGCAGAAAAATCTCTCCTCCATGGCTACTAAGCATATGACTAATAACTTTGGAACCTGACTTGCGTGGTTGTTCCAATAAAACAGAACGACCTGCCAAAAGCAAGATTATAAAGAAAGAATGTATTAATAATGAAATTCAAACAGGCTCTGACTTTTTTCCCCTTGATATGTATGTCTAGACTTTGCATTTGAGCCCCATGTTTTAACCAGTACTGCTAGTTTAGTATACCTACATTTCAGTTTCTACCCATAGCTATCTCTTAGTTACTCCAAGCTGACAGTTACACAGACAGTTTTCAAAAACAAGTATAGTGGTCTCTGATACTGTACGTTTGATTATATTCCTATTATATATTATATTACTATTCAATTATAAGTTAGTATAAAATTTTTCTATTGGGCATCAAGAAGGGAAGTAAGACAACTGCTAGATAATACTCAAGTTAGCAGTAGTATAAAGCATTTGGAAAGAAGTAAATCTCTACTTACTTCATAATACTCCATCATTATCACCGTTATTGTAACTACTTTCTATTTCACACGTCCAAATGTTGTTTAATCTGGACTCCACGGTACTTGATAATTAAACTGAACTTAACATAACAATGAAATTAATCTTATGATAAAGGCAGACTGCTCTTTAGAGTGGTTCCAAAGGGTAGCTGATCATAAGTATCACCAGGAGAACATGTGGAATTTAGATTTAGTAGACAGAATACAATTATTTTTATTTTTTAAAAATTTTCACACAAAGAAACTATAGATGTAAAGTCATATATAAGAATTATATGGTTTGATACTAAAAATATAATGTTTAGGATACAGGTATAGTATTCAAAGAGAAGCAAGTCCATGTATACTTTATATTTTAACATTTCAACTGCTGTCAAGTTGATTCTTAAAATTCAATAGGCCAAGATATATAGTCTGTATCACTTTATCTTCCCCCTCAAAAAAACTCTTAAACTCTAAAGATCAAATTTTTAAAAATAAAAAGATATTAAATGTGTTTAGACACAACAGACTAAAAAAGTCAGACATAAACCCATCTTAGTTTTACACTTTAAATATTATTTTTAAACCTTAATAAAACTGTTAGAGAATATTTCTAATTACATAACTTTAACATAGTTTTGTAGAAAAAATGGTTAGACTATATTAAAGAAAACAGCATTACAGAATTCAAGAATTCATATTTCCATACAGTCTCACTAAAATTTCACTGTAATAATTTCAGTCAAAGTCATAAATAATGAACGTTACCATTTAGAAGAAAATTAGTAAGGCAAGAGGAAGGTCTACTATTTACATCTACAGGTGAAATTCGATAAGCTCCCGTGCAATAGTGTAACTCTGAAATAGAAGAAAACACTGATTTGAAAGAATATAAAGAAATATTCTCATATTAAAAAGAAAAAAAAAATTGCTCCTTGAGCCCTAAAGCAATAAAAAACAAAACTTCAAAAAGAAACAAATTAACTGATACCTGTACAGTAAGTACTTAAAGAACCTTCTGATTTATTTTATCTCTCAATTATTTTAAATACCTACCAATGTTATTTGTCCTTGGCGTGCACCACTTTAATGTTATTGTCTCTTTAAATGGGCCTTCTCTACTGCTGCCACCTAAGTGGGTGTCACCTTTAAATGTAAGTCAGAGAAACATTAATATTATTCAGTAGAACACAAATTTCAAATTACTTACTGAAGCTTTCCAAACAACTTTAGGCATTGTGAGAGAAAATACTTCTAGGAGAGTATCTTTTTATGAATTTCCTTAAAAAAATGCCAAATAGTGGGCATTTTAGTTCTGATTTAAATAAATATTTAATTTTCCTCCAAATTCTGTATTAATTAAATCATTCATTTCAGTCACTACACTGAAAGTCAACAGCAAAAACTTAAAAAGTTTTAATCTACAACTGCTCCCCATCTCCCACTAACAAAGGATAAAATAACGTGGTTAAGAATTCAGGGAAGGCTTAAGGAATCTAAAATGCACAACTAATCATATGAATTGAATTAATCCGCATGATTCCTAATGAGGTTATTTAGAAGAAATATAAAACAAGGAATCTAGAAAGTAAATATATAAAGAGATTTAACAGTGAGCAATTTTGCCTTAATAGAACTTAAGGGGGGGAAACAAATGTAAATTAAATAATTACAAATATAAAACTATACAGCTGACAAAGGCTGTAAGGAATATGTATATAATGCTATAAAAGATTTTAACCTATTCTGAGACTCAGGGAAGGCTTCCTTGACAAATGAAAAGTGGTCTGAGTTCTAAAGGGATGAACAGAAACTAGCTAGAAGAAGCAGAGAAAAGAATATTCAGGCAAAGCAAACAGCAGAAGCCTAGATCCTGAGGCAGGGAAGAGTATGAAGATTATCACATTGGCATGAATGAAATACAGAAAAAAGGGAAGTGTGGTGTGAGGTAAGAATGGAAACTAGGAAGGACCAAACCATGCAGGGTCTTAGAAGGGATTTAAATAGTTCTGTCTTTTTCCTAAGGACAACAGATAAGCATTGGCGGGTTTTAAATTAATGGTAACATACAACATAATGCAACGCACTGCTGTGGAGTCAGATCCAACTCATAATGACCCCTCCTTGGGTTTCCCAGGCGGTATCACTACACAAGTAGATTGCCCAATGGTAACATGGTCAGGATTAAAATTCTGTAAATTACTCTACCCTAGTGAGTCAAAAGTAGATAGGGACAGATCATTTAGAAGGCTACTGTGGGATAGTAGGTAAGAAAACAATAGGCTGGATTAGGGAGATGAGAACGGAAGTGGAAATGCAGATGTGGATGTATCTGAGAGAGATTTAGTAGATAAAAATCAAGAAAATGTGAAAATGGATTTAATATGAATAAAAGAGATGCCTCAGAGCTGATTCTGGGGTTTCTGTCCTTTATAACTAGATAAACAACTGGGCCATTCACTGAGAAGGGGAATATAAGATTAGTTCAGGATAAACTCAAACTGTTTTGGGTATGTTAAGTTTTAGGTGCCTTAGAGACATCTAAGAGAACAAATAGGCAGTAAACTACATAGATCCAAGCTCAGGGGAGATATCTTGACTAAAGTGTAAACCTATTCATGCAAGATCCAGCTCTAACAACAGCTCAGAAAAGCCTGCATAACTCTTAGAGGCATAATCACATGCAACCCTGTATCTACAACACTGTTTCTCTGGCTACCATAGTATGTCACATGGTATCCATGTATCATACATACAATACAGGCCAAATCAACAACTATTTTAAAAAAACAGATAAAGTTACAAAGGATATTTTTAAGCTTTTTTTCTAAGTTTTTTAAAAAATACTTTAAAAAATGGTATGAGTTCATGGATTCCTAGCTATTTCCACATATTGTATCCTGAAAAGCAAGTTATCCATATTTCTTTGCTAACCATTAACATATATATTGGCCTTAGTTATCTCGTGTTAGCAATTAATCGTGTTAGGTTACATCCAGGATTCCTTACACATGTACGAACTGTTAGGATTAGCTCAAGATACTATACTTCTGAATAGAAGTAATGTCTTGGTTATCTAGTGCTGCTATACAGAAATACAAATGGATGGCTTAACAAATGAAAATGCATTTTCTTTGTTTAGGAGGCTGGAAGTCCAAATTCAGGGTGCCAGCTCTAGAGGAAGGCTTTCCTCTCTCTGTTGGCTCTAGAGGAAGGTCCTTGTCTCTTCTGAGCTTCTGCTCCTGGACAATCTTCAAACAACTTGCGATTGCCCACCCTAAACACACCTCCACCCCCACCCCCACCATTATTGCTTCTCAGCTTGTTCTTTTTAATCTCTTTTACATCTCAAAGGGATTTGCTCAAGATATTTCCGATTTTACATTAACATCATTAACAAAACCCATTCAAAAATGGGATTATAACCACTATAACCACAGGCCACAGGCATAAAGGTTAGGAATTATGATACATATTTTTTGGGGACACAAGTCAATCCATAACATGTATCCAACATGATCAAA